GGAGCTCTGTGAGGTCGTGGCTCTGCTGGAGACCACAGTTCCAAGGAAGAGGTTTGTGGAAAACGCGGAGCTTTGTGAGAGCTAACATTTGGGCACCCTGAATGGCTGCCGATGGAAATTCAAGAATTTGTCAAACATACATGAAAAAACATTAAAGAAACTCTTCAGGTATGGTTTTAATGAGGAAATAACATTATGACATGATATAAATCTCTAAAAAGACAGTCATCAATGATACCTGAGTTTTGTGTTTTTCTACAGTAGACATATTCATTAAAGAGCTTGTATTTTTTTACAACTAGCTTTAGAAACTTCCTTACTTCACTAAAATATATAATAAAAAATATACAGATAACATTTATGAGTGGTGATTGTTTTGAGTATAATCAATATCTGCTTTATAATTTGCACTATGCATCACGGGAGAACTTAATAAGTACATCCAGGTTAGATCCCACATTTACCTCAGAACTGCCTTTAATATTTAAACCTTTTCGTCATTAAAGCGATGAGTTGACTCGACATTTAGCTTAAAATTCAGCAGTTTTGTCGCATGTCACCTTGATAAAAGAATATGATTCAGTTAAATAAAATTGCACCTTTTCTTCTCAACCACCCATCCCTGGATGTGTCATGGGACGGGTGGTAGAAAATGTTCTTAGCAACACCAGATTATATTCAAGGCTTGTTTAGTCGGAGACTCAGCGAGGTAGGAATCTGGGCATCAGTGAGAGTGACGGTTAACACCAGTAGTCAGATGATGCAACCCCATTAAGCAGTTGCATGTAGAGGAGGACTCCGTTGCATTGCATCAGAAAGTGAGACAGGAGATGGCTGTTAATTGAAATGTGTCATGAGGCCCAGGTGAGGGCGTGAAGCAGCGGAAGGGTTCATGCCATGGAAGGGTGATTGTAAATGGGGGGAACGTTGTCACATTCTGGGCAGGAGTGACAGTGCATAAGCCGTCTTTGCAGCAAGCCGTGAAAACGTGCAGGTTTGTCCAACGTGGGACCCTCACAGCCCCCCCCCCCCCCCCCCCCCCCCCCCCCCCCCCCCGCGGCCGCGCGGCGCCGGGGCGGCGCGGGGCC